CCACCTCTTGCGCGGCATCTGGGAACCCAGAGTTTGGATAAGATTTCGCGCGAAACGCCCAATCCCAGACAACTCAGAAACGAGAGTTGCGAGGATGTATCAAACGAAACGGCCCGGGCCGCCAATTCTTTCTGGGGGCGTCTCAGCTTTGAATCCCGACGGCCGGAGTAAGCCTCAATCGCAACAGCACCCCGTTCAGCAATCTGTTCGGGGGGGAAATCGCGGGCGGACATTGCGCAGCTCGGCAGGGCCAGCGGGCGGTCGAGATGGAGGTCGACGCCCGAACTGGCGCGCGGGGTCTTGCACTCGGGCCCCGCCGCGCATGCGCCCTCGCCGCGAGCGACGCAGTGCTGTTCCCGCCCAGACAGCCTCGCTGCGTTGGCTGTTAAACGCTCTTGAAGTCCATGCTGGTTTCGTGGGCGTCTGTGTAGCTCGAGGGTAGCATGCACTCGCTGGCGAAGCCAAGTGCGTCGAGAACGGCCATGTCTCAATCGGATGCGGACTTCTCCAAGTCACGCATGCGCATGGCGTTGCTACGTTCGAAATCGCGAGCAGTGTCGCCAGTGTCTTGAGCGTCGTTGGAGCGCAAGGTCAGCTTGTCGATGTGTCGCCATTCGAGAACGCACCCCTGCCAGCGCTGAGCGCGCCTAGAGCTCGGCGTCCCGGCGGATCTCTGTAGAGAGACCCTTTGTGGATTCAGCTGCGATCTTGTCATCCGGGCTCTCGCATTTGCCGCTGTCGCGTTGGCCCCCCAGCCGGGTGCCCGGTTGCTCGGTCGCGCAAATTGACGCGTAGGCGGCAATGGGCCTTGCGGCGGCCCCGCAGAGAGGACCCCTTGAGCACGGCTGGGAAGACGACGTGGGAATCGCCTGTTGCACGCTGGGCAGTCCCGGCTGGAAAACCAGAACCAACGGGGGCGCGCGGGCGGCAGCCCGCAACCTCATGTGCGTTGTCCGCAAGTGGCTTGCCCGCCGCAGCTTCAGGGGCCGCTGCGCGGCCAGCGCGTGTAGTAAATGCTATTGATGGGCTCCGCCCGACATGTGTGCTCTGGTTATGTTCTGGTGGCGGTTGATGGTGCTGCCTCGCGTCTGCTATGTCCGCGGACAACTGGTCGTCGATGTTGGCGCGCTCCGGCTGTAGCCGGTCCGCGCATCTCGCGAGTCCCTCGACTTTCGCGTAGATCTCTGCGGCTTGCTTCGTCAGGCAAGAGTGCTGTCGTTTAAAATTGAAAATGGCTATCGTTCGAAAACATGTGGTTTGTGAGTTGCAAAAACCCAGCGATTGCGTCGACAGGCGCGTGAGCCTCAGAAACCCGTGCCGTCGAGGCATCTCTGTCTCTGCCAGGAGTTCGTGAAGATGCTTTTGCATGTGGTTCGCCGTCGCACACATGGCCTGAACGTCAGGTCCCAGGGGGGCGCGGTTCTCAACCAAAGCGGTGCCCAACTGGCCAGTCAGAGTCCGTACAACATGCAGATCAGTCGTTTTTTTTCGCATGCTCTAGCCCAAACGGGTAACTCACGGTTGGCGGCGACGTGGGAATCGTTGAAGCGTTGATTGACCGGGCTCCCGGCTAGACAATTTGTCTCGAAAAGGTCCTGTTGTACGTCGTTGGTCACGGGGCGTAGGACAACTGCTTGGGAAACGGCCGTATCTCGAAGCTCTGGGCGGTGTCCGTGGATAGCGCCAAGTGCTGTCCCAGGTTTGACCAGCGCTAGCGCACTTGTACCTCGTCGTGAAGGAATCGAGCTCTGACCGCGAAGAGATGAGTCTCGAAGTGTTGGATGTCGGACTTGACATAGGAAGTGTCGAAACGATCCTGGCCGCGCCAAGGTTGGAAATCCTCGACTCGACCTGTCACTTGAGCAGCGACCTGGCGGCCGATATGGGCAGCTTCGCCCCTCTCTGGAATCCTCTGTTAACTTCCGATCGCAAGGCGGCCGCATCCGAAGCGGCGGCCGCGATTGACCTATGCACGGCGGAAAGCTGTCGCGAAGCAACACATATTTCAACCTGGTTCCTCATTTCGGCCACGTGTTGTCATGGCACAACTGACAAAGGTGTTCGGGCGCACGTCGTGCGGCCTCTCGGAGAAACGCTGCGTCTATGGGGGTCCAGTGCGGCCATGTGGTGACGATCGATCTGACGTGTTCCACGGTATGGGGAACTCCGGGATGGCGGGGCGATGTCCAAAGACGGAGGTAAGTGAGCATGGGCGACGCCCCGTTCGGAAACCATGCGCCGAGACTCTCGATTACGCTAGGTGAGCTATCCACACGCCCGGGAACGAAGGCGGTGCGTGTCAACTGCAGGGAACCACGAGGACCCAACGTAACTGGGATACTTGAAGGGATTAGGAGTCCCGTAGGTGCACGACGGGCCGAAGGCAGTACGATTGCTAATACCTGTACGGAGCCAAAAAAGGGAAACGGGTGCAGTGAAGGATAGGATACGTATGGGGGTGCATTCACACTTCTCCCCCCCGTGACTCCCCGCGCGCGCCGTGTTGGGAGCTCAATGGAGATCAGACGCCCGCCGCTTTTTTGCATGTTCAACCAAGAGCCACCCACAGGCGCCAATCTAAGCCTGCCGTCGAAGCACACACGAACATTAAAAGCCCACCGCGCGAGGGCGACGATTCATGTGCTGGCCAACCGTGAATTCTAGCACGAGACCGGCGCATGCGAAGACATGCGTTCGCCTGCTCAGCAACAAACCAAAAAAAAAAAGTCCCGCCGCGGGCGCAGCTGCAATTCTTCGGGTGAGTATGTGGTCCGGCCAACTCCCAAACTGGCGCCACTGTTGACCGGGGGCCCCACGGCGACAGGCTCCCGGGTCCCCCCTGGGCTCCCTACGAGGCACTTCGCCCTGTTCCCAGCGACTCTGCCGGCCTGTTCGGCAATGTGTCCAGCGCAGGGACAAGTTGCATCAGCCATGTGCCTGCAACTGCTCGTGGGTTGCATCCTCGGGCTCGTTGTCGCCGATCCTGATTGTGCGCTATGCCGGGCCACGCCCCCGAGAGCCCCCCGGGTGCCGCACGGAGCCCCTTGGCCAGGCTGGTCCCCGTCGGGCCCCAGCCCGCCCGCCCCTGGCGGAGAGGAGGTAAACGCGACGACGTCTGCCCTCCCCTAGTCGGCCAACACGCGTGCGACTTGAAGTGGAATCGCGCGAGCGGGAGTCCCTTGCCCACTTGCAGAGGGAGGATGACGAGGGGGCAGAGTGACAGTACTCTGGATGAGGGGTGCGCAGGAGGAGGAGGAGGAGGAGGCCAGATCCTCATCTTGGCCCTCCTCCTTCACTCAGATGCTGCCTGCCGCAACCCCCGCAGACCTCATGAGGAACTGCCCCCAAATATCCGACGTGGCAATCTTTCCGACACAGGGCCCTGAAGTCCCAACCCCTTCCCCAGGAACAGCTATTCATCTTGAGTCCGCCCCTGGACAGCCCCGAAGACTGAGAGACAAAAACCCTGGCGGCTGGCACTGAAAAAAAACGTGGGAAGCCTGGGTCTCGAGGGACAGTCGCCGTCTAAGACTATCGCAAGCTCCGTCCTCAGAGTCCTTCCCAAGCTCCCAGTTCCCTGGAGCTCTCGGCAGGCCTCTTGAAGCGTCTCCTTGAATGCTAACCATGTCAAACGAAAAAAACATGTATAGCCAGAGTCCAGCACCCCGGAACAGCGTTTTCTAGAACTATGGCTCCAAAGACTGTTCGCGCGTCCTCCGAAACTTCGTCGCCCTCCTGCTCCTGATCGGCCTGCATCCCCATCGCTCTCATAGTCGTCGTATCTGTAGTCATTGTCGTCGTTATCGTCCTCCTCCTCTTCCTATGTTTCATCATCATTCTCACCCTCCCCCCATCCTACTCCACCTCTTCCTCTTCCTCGCCTACTCCACCTCCTCCACCTCCACGTCATCCTCCAGCTCCTTCACGTGATAGTATTCATATTCCTCCTCATCCTCTCCCTCCTCCTCCTCCTCCTACTATTATTATAATTAGTCTTCTTCTTATTAACATTATTATTCTGCATCATCGTCATCAGCATCAGCATCATCATCATCATCATCATCATCATCATCATCATCATCATCATCATCATCACCATCACCATCACCATCATCATCATCATCATCATCATCATCATCATCATCATCATCATCATCATCATCAATCATCATCATCACCATCATCATCATCATCATCATCATCATCATCATCATGATCATGATCATAATCATAATCAGCATCATCCTCATGCTTCTGATGCTCTTACTACTCCTCGCCCGTCTTCGTCCCACTGGTTCTCCCCCTCCTCCTCCTCCGCCCCTCCCCCTCCCATTCGCTCCTCCTCCTCCCTCTCCTCCTTCCTTCTCATCCCTTCTCCTCTCTCTCTCTCTCTCGAGAGAGAGAGAGATAGAGAGAGATGTTTCAAAACCTACTGTGGCAGGGCGCTCTCGCCTGAGATACCTGTGCAACCTACCCAGGACCCATGCCCTGGCCTTAGAACCGAAGATTTGCTTCCCTCGGGACGGGGGCGCCCGGACCCATCCCAGAGCACTACGAGGACCCGGAAGTCGCCCAGCTCCAAGCCCCACCAAAAGCATGCCTCCCGGCGTCCGTCCTGGCCAGTGTTTTTCCAGCCGAGGCCAGCCGTCACCGTGAGGTCCCGGGAGGCTCTCCACCACCACCAGGGAAACAGGATTTGGTGTCCGTTCCATGGGAGCCTGCGTGGCCCCCGGCGCTGTCCGATTTGGGCCTGATTTGGACCAGATTTGGAACAAAATGTGGATCAGATTTGGACCAGATTTGGAGTGGATTCGCGGGGACTTGAAGAACGAGGAGGAAGAGGGGGAACAGGAGGGGAGAGGAGGAGCAGGAGGATGGGCCACATGCGATGCCTGCGCGGTCCAAAGGCAGGAAAAGCTGATTTCAGTGTCGCCGCTCAAGGCTCCCATGAACAGACATCGAGACAGGATGCAAGCGCCGCCGCGGTCTGAGACTCCCGCAAGCTCCGTCAGGAACACCTGGAGGTCGTCGAGCCTCTCCGGGCCGCCCCTCACGAGGGCCGTGCAGTTCCCGGCCTGCAGCGGCAGGTCGGCCTCCCACTCCTGGGAGCGCGGAGGAGGGCTGCCGCGGGGGAGGGGCCCGGGGAGGCAGAAGTCAGGAGGCAGAGGAAGAGGGAGATAGAGAGCCAGGCCTGGGGCTGAATAGCTGCGTTTACACAATCGTGGCGCTCCTCTTCCACTTCGGCCTCCGAGGGGCGGCGCTTTGGCACTGGGGCTCTCAAGCAGCAGACATGGGTCCTGGACGAGCAACTGCCCCCAAGGGGGTGGGCGAACAGCTACGACGATGGCGCGTGAAGCTTGCGAAGACAGACAGAGAGGGAGAGAGAGAGAGAGAGAGGGACAGAGCTCGAAAGAGAGCTGGGGACAGAAAGAGAGAGGGAGAGAAACAACAACGGTGCTGATCTCCGTGGCCAGCGCGCAGGTGCACGGCGATTTTGCCGTGACGGCGCTGCGCGGGGAACGAGAAGCACCCCGCACAGCATCCCCGACAGGGGCCCTGGACGGCAGCCGCGGTCCGCACGCCAGGAAGGACAGCCTGAACGAGCCGCGGGCCACGAGCGGCAGTCTGACGGCTGGGCCGAGCTAGAAGTGCCCGCGGCGGACGCCTTGCAACAGACGCGCAGCGCCTGGTACTGGCACACGCCGGTCGGAAGAAGTCAGACAAACAAACATAAGTAGGAAGACGGATAACGTAGACTGGGTTCGAGCCCTCTCAGAGAAGAACAAAACGCAGCAACAGCATGCCGATGATATAAGCAGGAAGGCGCTAGGAAAAGATTGGGGTCTGGGAAGCCAGAGATACCTCTTTTCAGCGAGCGGCGTGTGCACTCGAAGCAAACGTCGGGCGGACCAGAGACGAGCCAGCGGGCCTGGGGCCAGGGGCCTGGCGGCACTGCCAGAGAGAGCGCGCCGACGAAGGAGCCGTGCAGCGCGCACAGCGATCCACTGTCCCGGAGGGGCCGCAGCGCCGAAGGCGGGGGCAGGGGTCCGCCACCAAAGGTGGGGGGGGGAGGAGGGAGGAATGAGGAGGAGAGGCGGCGGAGGCGGGAGAGAGAGAGGCGAGGGATGCCGACGGACCCCCACACCCCTGCGGGTGAGGCCCAGAAGGGGGGAGGGGGCCTTAGCTGCACCGATACGCAACCCGCAACACGTAGCGTATTGATACGGAGCTCAACACATAGGCTGAAAGCGTAGGTCTGACGCGATACATTCGCCAAAACGTGGCCCAATACGTGGAGCCAACACGCAACGTATTGACACGGACGTCTTGAACGCGGGACGTATTGCGTATCAAAACGGGCGTATCGAGGCAGCTAAGGAGGGGGCGGGTGCCCGCGCGGGAGAAGGGGCAAGATATCGCGATGTCGAGCCCTCCCGACCCCCACGTGGACTCATTGCAACCGCGATGAACCACAGGGCCGAGAGGCAGCAACCAGCGGCAACCAGCGGCAGGAACCAGTGGCAGGGACCAGATGCACATGTCATGTGGGGGCAACATCTGTACAGATGCACCCCTCCTGCTTCGATCGAACTTGGCAACCTCATCGTCTTCCCCGCGCCGCGTGAATGCATGCGCGTGGCTGCGTGCGCGCAGACGCAGATACCGTATGCAAGCTCGTTTTGACCCGCCCACCAGGAATGAGCCAGATGCCGTGGACCCCAGCCGCCCCCGCTCCCAGCGGCGAAACCCAGCCCAAGTGACTGGCTCATACTGTTTTCAATGTATACCAGCACTCGGTGTTTACTGGGTGGAGTGTAAACAACAATCTGACGTGATTGGTGTACACACTTTCCGGTTTATACGCGAAGTCATGTCCTGATGGGATTCATGGGTCTACACCGAAGTTGCCCCCAGAGTACCCTGGCATCGTCGGCGGGGGCGGGGCCAGCTGGGGCCCGCGGAATCGGCTGCTGGCCATCCCCCCGAAAAGGGCCTGCGCCGTCGTCATCGGGACAACGCCAATGCGGCTGCCAAACAAATTGCCACGGGCACCTTCCTGCGACAAACAGCTTCCGGGGCGCCCGGCGACCAGAAAAGGCATCTGTGCACATCCGTTGCACTCCGATGCAAGTATGATGGTGATCGGGGATCTTCTGACCCAGGTCAATCCAAACCCGGGTCAGTCAGGCCTTGCAGAATCCCGCAAGGTCCTGCAAAATCCTGCACCCAAACGCGATTCAACGCGAAGGATCCTGCAAGATCCTGCAGGATCCTACACCCAGACCCAGGTCAGTGCGCCCCTGGCCCTGCAGGATCCTTCAAGATCTGGCACCCTGGCTGACCCCCGTCTGCATCGACCCCCGTCCCCTGAGCCCCGAGGTGACATCCGCAACCAATCGCCGGCGGAAAGCTGGAGTATAGCCGTACAGCACACAGGCAGCCGAAGCGCGACAGGCCACGGGGCTGCGAGAGGCCGACGTCAGGGGCGCGGCGGCGGACAGGAGGAAGGGGGGCTAGCCGTAGAGCACACAGGCAGCCGAAGCGCGACAGGCCACGGGGCTGCAAGAGGCCACCGTCAGGGGCGCGGCGGCGGGCAGGAGGAAGGAGGGCCGACCCGAGGCGCCGAGGACACGGCCGGCCGCCCACAGAGCAGGGGTGATGGGCGGCGGGGGAAGGACGGCCGGCCGCCCAGAGCCGGGGGGACGGACGGACGGCTGCTGGGCCTGTTTTCCACCACCAACACCATAAGTTGGAGGACGAGGAGGAGGAGGAGGAGGAGGAGGAGGAGGAGGAGGAGGAGGAGGAGGACCCCCCCCCTCCCCCTCCAACTGATGGTGGTGGTGGTGGTGGAAAACGGGCCCATCAACGGCAGGCACGGCAGGGGGCGGACGGCAAGGCAGTGGACGGACGGAAGGACCGCTACAGCACCCGCGGTGTGCGGCGGGGCAGGCGCCCGCCAACGGCCTGCGGCGGTCGAAGGCGCCTTCTTGGGGCTCGGTGGTGATGCGTCTGCCGACGGCGCCAACGACGGCCACACCCGATTGTTGCCCAGGGGGAGGCCGAGGGCCTCGTCGAGGCAGAACGTGAAGGCGTACCGAGAGAGAGAGAGAGAGATCGGCGACACGCGAGAGTTGCCCTGGGCAGAGAGTGGCCTGTGGCGCGCGGCTGGCCGATCGATGCGTGCGATCCGACAACAGCTGCCTGCATGCTCGGATTCGATGCCCCCCTCCCTCCCTGCGCCGTCCGAAAGCCGGACCAAAAGGTCACTCCAGCGAAGGGTCACCCTAGCGTGTAGCCGAAGAGAAAGTCAGCAATCCATACGTATATGTACACACAGATATACATATACTTGTGTATATGTATATGTGCGTACTTATCTTGATAACTAAATAGATACGCGTATAGATGTGTATGCATATATCGGATTGCGTAGTTGCACAGAGGGAGGGAGAGACAATGGGAGAGGGAGGCAGAGAGAGAGAGAGAGAGAGAGCGAGAGAGGGAAAACGACAACAACAAGAACACTAACCACGCCCACGGCCGATTGCCGAATGCGCTGTCGACGCACAGACGGGGGATGCCGTAGGCACAAGGTCGGACGTGGGGTCGGAGTAGAAGAATGGGGTCTGCCCATTGACGTACACGGGGGCATGAAGGTCGACGAGCATGCATGTTCGCTGGGAAATGCTGAGTCGAGTTTTGTGCAGAAGCCTTGCCCGCGAAAGAACGCAAGGACGAAGGATTGCAACAAGAGGAGGGAGACACGACCAGGAGAAGAGCAGAGCGAGCAAGGGGAGAGGGTCAATGAATTCCCGAGGGAAGGCGGCAAGGAACGCGCAGCCACCTGGCAACATTCACGAACGACGAACGTATCTAGATCCATGCCCTCGCGATCGGGGTACCAGGCCACAATCCCACATATCTATATCTCTCTATGTACCTATATATATATATATGACATCCCATGGATGCGTGCCCCGCGGGGGCATCCTCGTCAAGCCGCCCTGTATCGATGGGGCTGTGGCCGAGGGGTCCAGAAAACGAGGAAAAAATGATGTCGCAATGTCCCCCGCCCACGAAACACATCTGCCCATCAAAATTGAAAGCGCGGGAATCAGATTTGGATGTGTACCGTGCGCGCTCGACGAGCACACGCCATTGGAAGTGTTCGAAAGATGGAGGAGGCAAGAAGATGGAGGATCGAGGCTTGAGAGATGCTCTGGCGGCTTGCGCCTCTGTGGAATGACTGATAGCATGCGGCGACCTTTGACCATGGAAACCTCCGCGGAGGCCTCTGGAGACTTACACCGGTGAAACACGTTGAATGTAATACATTCCAGTGGAAGGGGTATACGTCAGATATGCAAAAATACAGATGTACAAATGAACATGTCTATATATATATATATATATATATATACGTATATGGATATCTACACCTATACAAAGATCCAAATGCACACATATATCGTGCATTATGATACGCACCTCTCCGAGGGAGAGGAACTCAAAAACGATGAATTGAAGCCGGAGGGTGCCGTCCGCGACTGTTCTGGCCGTTTCGTTTAAGACGTCCTCACAAATCCGAACATCGGACACGCATCGCGCCGATGGTGACGTCAGGGTCCAACAACACACCAGATGTTTCTTCAAGTTTGTAATCTTGGCATCAAGGAGTCAAAAACCTTGCATTTCAATAATTTTGGATGCGGTTCTTGGAACAATCGCAGTGTCGCGTGAAACATCCACCAACAATTGAAAGCCGACGGATTGGAAGTTGTCCTCACATTCTCCCAATCGGCAGCTTCGCTCGAGACATCATCCCGAGCTGGATTTCAACTGCAGTCGAACGGTGTGGCGCCCCCTCCTGCGCCACCCTCATCGCAAGGTGCAGCAACCTCGCCTGCACTCGACTGCGATCCAGAGTCAGAACTCATCTCCTCCTGCTCTATTTTTCTTCTGCTTCTCCATCTCACGATTCCTGCTCTGTCCTTCCTCCTCCTCCTCCTCCTTCTTCTCCTCCTCCTCCTCCTCCTCGTCATTCTCCGCCTCCTGCTGTCCTTCCTCCTCCTGCTCCTCCTCCTCCTCCTCCTCGGATGCGACTTCACAGTCATCGTCTTGCCGACAGTGCGCGATGCGCACGTGCTGCAGAGGTCTCTTTGCCTGAGCCTCTGCGCGCACGTGCCGCTTGTACGTCTACACGCGCTTTGCGAGAGGGAGAGGGAGAGAGAGAGAGAGAGACGACGACGACGACGAGAGGGAGAGGGGGACGTCGAGAGAAGAGGGAGCCGCGGCGGGCGGCAAGCGCGGAAGAGGAAGCGAGGGAGAGGGAGAGGGATAAAGAGAGGAAGAGAGGCATAGAGAAAGAGAGAGAGAGAAAGAGAGAGAGAGAGAGCGCGCGCGCAAAGCAGGAGAAGCGTGCAACCTCCAGCTTCTCATACTTCTTGGGGTGGAACTGCTGATTCTCCGTCGCCATAGCGGGATGGCCGCCGCGGGCCCTGCGGCCCCTCCCCCGGCCCAGCAGCCCGTGCCGACCCCCCAGGCGGCTCACCGGCCCCCCCCCGCCCTCTGCGGCTCTCGGGAGCAGCTGCTCTCGCAAGCCGAGCAGGAGCCCCCGTGGTGGAGGGGCAACGGTCTGAGGGGACCGGCTCCCGGGGGGGAACGTCGAGCTGGAATCGGCGATGCATCGCCGATGGATCGGCGACAGGCCACCGATAGCGGAACCGCACGCTCCTGAGCACTGGGCTATCAAACCCCTGCTGGCGAAGAGTGGGCGATTGGGGGTCGATGCGTAGCCCCCTGCGCCTGCCTGTATCCCCCTGACGTTGCCCATGATGCTTTCGAGGAAGGAGGAGGAGGAGAAGTCGCGCAGGAGCCTCCCTGGTCTAGGTCGCCTGCGCTGCGGCAGGGAACCCTGTGGTTGGCGCGTCGCGGCCTCGGCCCCAGCGCAGCGACATGCCCTGCGGGCGGCCCGCGTGTCGCTCACCCCCCGCGGGGCAGGAGGCCAGGAAGGGTTCGGGGAGTTGACGCCTGGGGTCCGCGACGCCCCATACAGGCGGAGCTTGGACGACAAATGGAAAATACCCAAAAAAATAATAAACAGACAATTTGTCCAAAAGAATCAAGACATCGCCTCCGGACTATTGTTCGACTATCTTGGAATACTCCTGAAGTCGAGGGACAGGCCCGACCTAAGGTTAGCGTGTCGCGCCGAAGCGTGGTGGACTAGAGACGGCGGCACGGCACGCGAAGCAGGGGTTCCTGACCATGCTCTGGTGTTCTCGGCTGCGCGCAAGAGTGGCGCCGCGCAAGCAGTGGTCTCTGGTGCGCGGCTTGCAGAACGTTGCACGCGATGCAACAATACTGGCCTGCGTGCCCGGGTTCGGCGCACCCACGCTCCGCGAAAGCCGCGCACCGAGCCCCTCGCAGAATCCCCCCCCAGAACTCTTCTGGTGTACACATGTGTGTGAACGTGCTTGTGTGTGTCTGTCTGTATTTGTGTGTGCACCTGTGTGTTTGTGTCTGTGTCTGTGTCTGTGTCTGTGTCTGTGTCTGTGTCTGTGTGTGTGTGTCTGTGTATGTGTGTGTTTTGCCCTCCTAACTCGCGCCGCTGCGAGCGTGGCCGCGACGTCAAAATTGCGAGTGTGAGTGTGCTGGCGTGTGTGCTTGTGTGTGGGTGTGCGCGTGCGTGCGTGTGCGTGTGCGTGTGTGTATGTCGCACGTACTCAAAGGGGGTCCTCAGAGGTCACCAGCGAGCCCTACCGAGCCCTACGGAGCCTCTCGAGTTCTTGTGAGCTCGACGAGTGCACAAGCAGCACGCCGCAATTCGTACAAGTGGCCTTCCCAAACTTCCTCAGAGGGGTTGGGCGGCGGGCACAAAACTCTGGCAGAGTTATAAATATGATATGCAGTAACCACAGCCTCGATAGTTGATGGGCTGGGTGATCCACCTAGGCCAAGACGACAGACTGCACAATTCGGAATCTCGGCCTGGGGTGGGTAGGCGATCGACCATAGAACATTACAGTCTAAGTAGTGCGAAAAGGTGTCAGGTGCAGCTACCAGAGGCGGTTCCCTGCACCGAAAGCGACACTCGCCGATGCCCGTCTGAACATGTAGGCGGCCAGACGTGAGCCATGCTCCTGAGACTGTCTTGATAACCGCACTCTGCCACGCTGGAGCCAGGCGCGAGATCGCCTCTCTCAGGCCAGCCCACCGCGCTTTACATGACACCACGTGGGAACGGCAGGCCCTGGGACACCCGACACGACCTTCAACCTCGAGCCCCCAAGCCTTCAAGCGTCGCTGAATCAGGAGGTGGAGGAGGTCAGGATGGAGCGAGGCGTGCAACGAGGAGTACAATGCTTTCTGCGTATGCACCCGCACGCCCCGTGCGGTGACCTGATCTTCCAGGCGGACTCGGCCGCGTCGGGCGCCACGATACTCGACCTTTGCCGATCCGTCTCCGAGGCCGCCCCATGATCGAACATCGATCGTCGCCGTCGTGGTCGTCGTGGCCGCCGTCGGCGCCGTCGCCGTCGGCAGCGTCGGCGGCGTCGTCTCGGGAGCGGCAAAGAGGAGGGTGTCCAAGAGGGGTGTGTGCAAAATAATGACCGGCAGCATGTGCGCGGCCCAGCGGAGGGGCCAGGGACGTAATGAAATGAGAAGAGGCGCCATGACATCTGGGGAGATATCATGGCCCGCGCCATGATATCCTCCCCCCCTAGTCATCACCCCCTCTGTTCCGCCCCCGATCGTCGTCGCCGCGGGCCTCGCCCGGGCATCCAGCGGTGGCCCCCGCAAAGCCCCCGCCGCGGCAGCGGCTGCCCGCGCGGGGTTGGAGCCCAGGCGGCAGCGAAGCCCAGAGGCCTGGCGCCCCGCTGCCGAAGGGGCCGCGGCGACGAGGGGCACGCCACACCCCCTTGCGACGGGCCTCTCCCTTGAGCAGGGACCGACCGTTCCGGCATTCCTACAGTCCTACCACGAAATGTTCTTAGAACCCAAAGATGTTCTAAGAATAAAAACAATTTTCTTAGAACTAAAGCCCGATGTGGTAAAACAAAACAGACTCCGACAGAAATGTGCTAAGAACATTTCGTGGGAACCACAAAGGGTGCTCAGAACAGTGTTTGGTAGGGCTATAGGCGAGCCATGACGCTTCGCCACTGCTCGACTCCCGCGGCGCACACGGCGGATGGCGCTGCGACACAGCACGCCTGGCCGCCCAGCTCGTGAGGCACGGCCAGAGTTATGTTGCTCCCATCGTACGTAAGGACCACATCCCAGAAATAATTTCGAGCACCCAGAAAAGTGTCGAAAGAGTGTCGAGACAGTGTCGGGCGAGTGTCTCCCAGGGCCCGACACGTGAAATCCCTAGAGGTTTGGTCCTTTCTTCTGGTGCTCGAAATTCTTTCTTGTGATGAAGGCTAAAATAGGTTGGAACATCATAAGGTCGGAGCGAAGGTCGGGGGCGCGCAGATATGGATGAGCGATCCATGGATTTGGCGCGCGGCTGCCAAATCCACGGATTGGGGGAGGTGCCCTCCCCAAATATGCAGCAGGTGCCGCCTCGATCGGCGGTGGAACTCCGCGATGTCCCATGGAAGCGGGACCCCCGTCGCTAATCCACGCCCCCTTGATCCATGTTTGCGATTGCCTGAGAAGGGGAAGGACGACGAGGGCGAGGAGGAGGGAGAGCGGGCAGCGAGGAGGGGGGGAAGAGGCCAGGAACAGTGCCCTGCAAGTGCGGGGCAGGCACGACCTCTCGACGTCGACGCTGTCCGTAGGGGCCGAGATCGGCGCGTCCCCCCGACACGCCGACCACAGCATTTCAATGTGAATGGGCTCGGGCCAAAATTTCGGCCCGCGCCCAAGTGTAGACTGAGGTCCTCCTGCTTCGCCACTCTGGAGACGGGGCCCCCGAGACAGCGCGTGGCCTGGTCCCTGGAAGCCTCGAACAGTGCAGATCTGGCCGGGGAGCTCCTTCCTGTCCCTACGGCCAGCCCGTGTAAGAAGGACGCGCGCTAAGGATGCGAGGGCCATGGAAGGCCATGCCGACTCTCTGCGAGAGGGGCGCGGCCAGCGAAAGCGGCCGAGGATGGGCCTAAGGGGCAGGACGCAGGGGTAACCTGGGGAAGCTGCTTCTTCCTGCTGCTCCGCATCTCACAATGATGGGGGGGTGATCTGCTCGGTGGGGGTCCACCGGGCCTCGTCAAACAAGACTGTTTGGGGGTCTCGATGCTGGACCCGCTGTTGCACCGCTCTCTGGGGGGTCCCCGACGCGCTGTCGAACACTTTCTGGACCCGCGCCCCCCGCTTGTGTGAGACATGGAAAATGCGGGTTGACCGTGCAGGAGCTCCACCCTCAGGGGCCCCGACTACTAGCTCCGTCCCCTTTCTCCTCCTCCTCCTCCTCCTCCTCCTCCTCCTGCTGCTGCTGCTGCTGCTGCTGCTCCTCCTCCTCCTCCTCCTCCTCCTCCTCCTCCCTCCTCCTCCTCCTCCTCCTCCTCCTCCTCCTCCTCCTCCTCCTCCTCCTCCTCCTCCTCCTCCTCATGCTTCTCCCCCTCCTCAGATGCGCCGCTCAATCTTCTGCCCCCCGCAGACATTCTCCCCCTCCTCCCTGTCCTCCCTGCGTTCTCCTCCTCCTCGTCCTCCCCGCATCGGCCCTGCTCCCCCACTTCCTGCTACCCTCATCGCTCCTCCCCGTCCTCTTGCGCCTCCGCGCCTCGTCCCTCCTCCTCGCGTCGCCCTCTCCATCCTGCGCCTCCTCCTCCTCCTCCTCCTCCTCCTCCTCCTCCTCCTCCTCCCCCTCCTCCGCCTTCCCGCGCGGGAGCGCGCGGGGGGAGGATGAGGAGCAGCAGGACCAGAGGGGCAGAGGAGCGGAGGATGAGGGGAAGATGAGCAGAGGGGATACGACGAAGAAAAGAGGTGGCGCTGTCGTGGAGAGAGCGGGGGAGGGAGGGAGGGGAAGCTGGGAGAGGAGGGGGAGAACGGCGAAGCTCAGGAACGCGTGAGCGGAGGTGGGGGGAGAAGAGCAGGAGGCGGACAGGAGGGGCGAGGAGCTGGACGGGGACGGGGACGAGGAGGGGGGGATGGAGACGAGAGGGAGAGGGAAGCGAGGAATGGGGATGAGGAGGACCAGGAGGGGAGGAGAGGGGAGGGATGGAGAAGGGAGGAGACGGGTGGTCCGGCGGAGACCGCGAAACCACCACCTGTGGGCACCACCGCAACTGACGATGCCCTCACGTCCCCTCCACACGGAGGGGGGGGGGGGGCGGACACACGGGCCGCGGGGGGCACGCGTGACGCCGCTTGGGCCACGCCACTCTCGGGGTGGCGAGGACAACGCCCAAACGGATCCGCCAGGGATAGGGCGCAGGGCACGGAGGAGGGGAGGGAGGAGAGGGAAGAACTGGGTGGGACACGGGCCACAGAGCGAGGATGAGGACGAGGAGGAGAAGGAGGAGGAGGAGAAAGGGGAGGACGACAACGAGGAGAAGGAGGGGGAGGGAGCGGAGAGGGAGCAGAAACGCGAGGAGGGAGTGGAGAAAAGCGACTAAGACGACGACGACAACGACGACGACGGCGGCGGCGGCGACGACGAAGACGACAAAGGCGACGACGACGACTTGGGGGAAGAAACGACGACGACGACGACACCAGCGGCGGCGGCGCTGCGCACAGAGATTGGAGGGACAGTGAGGCCGAGGACAAACAGGGCGACCCCTCGCCGTCGTCCTCATCCAGGACGGGGGCAGGACAGAGAGCACGGTGAGGAAGACGACGACGACGACGACGACGACGACGACGACGAAGAGGACGAGAGGGAGAAGGTGGCGTGTGCAGCGTGCGGCGGCGAGGGCAGAATGTGAGCCCCCCAGTCTACACGAATTTGCCCCCGGCGCGCAGCAGGCATGCACTGGCACTGGCTGCGGCGAATGGTTGCCCAAATCCGCCGACCCCCCGTGGGCAGGGGATCGCCTCGTGCACCTAGGGCTCCGCTTCCACGAGGGCCTTCGCAGAAACCAAGTGACACCCGCAGAGCGGGAGTCGCGGCGGGCTCCCGAGGGAAGCCCGCGCGCACATCTTGCAATCAGCGGGTGCTTGGGGTATGGCTTCGACGAGGGTCGGTACGACTCGTTACTCGGGGTTCACTGTGCCCCCAGCCCTTCGTGCCATTTTGAATCCCATAGGGGGCCTCTGGGCCTCGCGAGGAGCACTCTGGAGGCCAGCCTCCCGGGGAGAATCCTGGGAACGCCTTGGGCGAGGGACTCGCCGAGGCGGTGTTCGACAGCCCGAGCCTTGTCGAGAGCCTTCTCTGGCCCGACCTGTGGCCAAGGCGCTGCAAACCTTCTGCGTCCCGAGAACACCAGGTGGAAGGCCGTCCTCCTCCTCCTCGTTTTCCTCCTCCTCCTCCTCCTCTTCCTCCGCCTCCAGATGCCCAGCTCGGGTCATGAATGCCACAGGAGGCCGCCCAAGGCACAACACCCGTGCTGGAGAAACTTCCGGCGGATGGCTCCTGAGCCCCAAGGTTACATCAGATCAGGCGCGCCGAATGGGGGCCAGGAACAGGGAGGGGTAGTGCAGCATGGCCCAGGGCATGTGCGCGGACGAGGTGGGGCCAGGGATCGTCTTAAAAGAGGGAGAAGGGGCCATGAAATCTGGGAGACTTCGTGGCCCCAGCCTTGACATCCACACACACACAGTCCATGACCGGGGGAGGTAGCGCGTCATGGCCCGAGACGTGCGCGGGGCGGGCGAGGTGGGGCCAGGGAGCTTCTTGGAAGAGGGAGTGGGAGCAATGACATCATGAGATGTGGGAGACCTCGTGGCCCCAGCCATGCTATCCGCACACACACACACACACACACACACACACACCCTAGTCCTCCCTGGAACGCCCCGGGGCTCCTCTCGGATCGACCGAGGATCTCGCACAGCCGAGCCGATCGAGGCGGACCCACCGTCTGCGGAGAGGGAGGATCGCCCTCCCCCACACCTGCGGGCGCGCGATCCGGTCGAGCGGCCAGGCGCAAGCCTCGATAGGCGTCATCGAGTCGACCGGCATCGGGGGCAGCACTGCTCCAGGGCCACGGCACGTTGTGCGCCGCGAGCCCCCGCGGTGCGCGACGCGCGGGCAGCCTCGCGCCCTCGCAGGGCCACATCTGGGAGAAGGGCAGCGCCCCAGCCGAGACCGCGACGCGCGGCTATCTTCGCGACTCCGATGGCGGCTCACGGGTATCCTTGCGCGTGACCGCCCCCCCGCTGGGCTCCCATCCGTGAGACCTGAGGAGGCAAGCCCCACGCTGCGCGTCGAATCGAACGCCATAGGAAACAGTCCGGAGGTACTCTGAGACAACCGGAAGCGACTCACACGGGAGGCCGCGCAAACGTCGAATCTGGACAACCGATCAGCTGTCCGGGGCAAGCTGGTTCCCCATCGGCTGCGCGCCACCCGCTGTTCCTCGGTCCAAGCTGCCTCCGACCTGGCTCCAAAGGGTGTGAGGCGGCAGGTGTGGCGCAAGCCAGACGGATTCTACGAGAAGGCCCACATCCTTCTCGCAACGGCAGATACGAAGAAGGAAAGTGAGGCTGAGAAGGAGCAAAAGGAGAGGGAGGAGCTTACGCCCCTCCGCAAGACTAGGAGGAGAAAAGGGATCATAGAGAAGAGAGGGGGAGGAGGTGAAGGAACAAAACGAGGAGAAGGCGGAGGAGTAGGCGGAGGAGGGCAGCAAGGAAGAAGGGAGGACGGAAGACGATGAGTGAAAGGATGGCGAACGGAGGTGGGCAAGGGGATGGAAACGGGGAGGGGGCAGTGACGGAGGG